TTGTTTTTTTAGGTAGAGCCCGTGGATCTGTCCATCTGTCAGCAAGTCCGTCTGCCAAGAGGTGTCTTCTGCTTGCTTATTGCTTTCTTCATGCTGGTCTTTTCTCTAGCTAATTCTTCATCCCTGAAAGTGGAGGCGACTTCTTCCTCTGAAACATCCATTGACTTTCAACGGGCTAAATGGCGTTATATCCAAGAAGACATAGCTCTGCATAATGATCGCTGCCAGAACCTAAAATCTTACAAGTCTCTCTGTCGCCATTTCAGTGAATAATGCTTGTTTAGAAGAGCTCCTCGAAACATGTATTTTTCCATTATTGGGTATTATTCTACAGCAAGTACGCCGACTGCCCAGTCTTAACACGTGGTCATATAATTCGATGTCTCGTACAGACGCATTCCCGCCACGTATTTAGAAGCTTTCAGTGTGCACATATCAGTACAGAGGGTAGCTGTTCTGACTGAAGATTTTCATTGTTTCACCCAGTCCTTCAAATGCCTGGACACAACCTTAAATCAGGCCACGGCCGCTTCCTTCCACATCTATCAGAATTAATTTTTCCCTGTTCATCCTATCGTTCGACGCAATATAGGCTTAATTTCATATATTTAAAACGTCGTTAAATAAACCAAGAATAAGATATTGCGAATATTCCTGGGGGTTAAGGGCTGCCGGCGCGTAAGGCTGACAGCCTTACCGCTATCTGTGAGCCGATTGTCCAGAAAATGTGGGAGCCTCAACATCTCACAACCCTATGGGCCTCCACAGCCTGTTAAGAGGATACATTTACTTTTACTTAGTTTATAAGATATCGCGTACGTTTATTTTATGTACAGTATAATTATTGCCGTATTTAATTTAAATGGCATTTATAACACTCTCGTGCCTGACTGTTACGCGATGTGATACAGGGATTCAAAAGTGACAGTGAACTTTCGAGTCACGTGGTGTCACCTCATGCCAGATTGCGTTTGTTGGAAAACAGAAATAGTTGTAGCGGTAACAATCATATCTAGATTATTCAGTTGAATTTGAATTGACCGGTCCAGTAACACAAGAATGTTATGCTGGGGGGAGAATGCAGTGGCTGGAACGGCAAGGCAAGGATGAGTTGAAGGCCATCGATTTTTACTTGGCGAGTTTGTCCAGCCGTCTGTTAGTCTGTCTTTTGTTTGTGTTTTTCTCTATACCAGTGCACTTGCGTACATCAACCTTTGGGTAACTTCGATGTCTTGGATGAAAGTACGGCGTGGTTTTTTCAGAAGATGTACATTTTTGGGATTTAAGTATGGGTATAATTATGTGCTCACAAAGAGTTGGAAGCTGGAAAATGAACACTGTGTTGAAGGTATCGGCAAAATGAAACGCGTGCCGTGTAATAACTGTTTCGTGATTTTCCACATTGTTTATGTTCTCTGTTTCCGGTTCGGTCGCTGAACGTGTGGTTGGCGCTCTCAGTTATGAACAAATAAATCATCCTTTCAAACATCGTTTGAAGGGCTTGTATTTGTTGGGATTTTAATGTGAGATGCGGACATTTTTTCATAATAACCAACTTGTACCCTTGAATCAGTCTGTATTTACTGAACATCGCGTTGCGTGAGTTAGTATGTCCGGTGTTGCTTCTTCTGCAGTGGGTCTTGGGTTCGAATCTTGGCCCGATGACATTACGGTACCCCGAGAATTTACGTAGATCTCTCGGTCTCCTTTGTCAAATTTTGGGATAGAACCTGCAGACAAACAACCGCCCCCTTCCACTGTTTTTCTAGTTGAAAATTCGGCATCAACGCATCGTTTGACGCCGTATGCAATTTACTTGATAAAGCATTATTAAATGAAATAAGATGCAACAAAAAATGTGTGGAAATACATAAATATGCAAATAAAAGTAGAATATGCTAATAACATGTATTTGCCAACCTCCTCCTAGCACCAACGTCAAGAATGGTGGAGCTATACCTCCATTCCCCCACAAGTCTTCATGGCGTGGGGCTTAATTAATTAGGCACAGGGACAATGTTACCTTTTTACCTTACCTTAATAATATGTATTTGCACAGCTTTAATTCCAGAAATTTATTAGGAGCTTTCATTTATGTTTAGTTCATGATATGTGCATATGTCTTCATTTTTTCTAACTCTGATACAAGGCCGCGCAATAGCTCAAGCGGTTAGTCTCTGGCTTCCCACCGCGGTGGCCCGCGTGGGATTTGTGGTGGACAAAGTGGCACTGGGGCAGGTTTCCTCCAAGTACTTCGGTTTCCCCTGCCAATCTTCATTCCACCAATTGCTCCACAATCACCCTCACCTATCATCTGGAGCGGGTACAATAGGCCAGAAGTGGCCGCAGTGCAAGGGACTTAGTCCCACCCCACTAGCCTTGAAAAGAACTCTGATACAGAACATTTTCTCATTTATGTGATATTTTTGAGAGTCACATCATCAGTTTCAGAAACTTCTATCCCCCCCCCCAGGAACTGGGATAGTAGCAACTGGCTACAGGCTGGACGACAGGTTGGAATTTGAGTCCCAGTAGTGTCAAGAATTCTCTCTGCTCCATATCGTCCAGACCGGCGTGGGCCCCACCCAGCCTCCTATCCAATTGGTACCGGGGGCTCTTTCCCTGAGGTTAAAGCGGCTGGGGCTTGAAGCTAACCACTCACCTCCAACTAGCACTGAGATCAAGAAAATGTGGATCTATAAATCCACTCCCCCATATGCCTTCTTGTCATAGTGCATAATTAGTTAAGCACAGGGGCAACTTTACCTTACTATCCCCCCTTCCCCTTACCATTTACTTTTATTATGACCAGGGCCCGGATTTTGATGACATGTCATCTTTTTTTCCATGTTTCCTATGCGATGCTCTTAAATATATAAATCTCGGATATGAGCTGCTGGTTACAGAAATGTAAATTTTATAGGTAATTTTTTGTCACTTTTCTTGACATTTTTTAGGTTTAAGGTCATTTTTTCATTTTTGGGGTAATTTTTTGGTAAATTTTTGAACTTTTAAGGGTATTTCTTGTCATTTTTGGCCATTTTAGGGAATTTTTCTTCATATGTTTTCTGAAATGTGAATAACATGGAAGCGAAGTGTTCTTTCTTTTCTCCTTTAGGTCGTTTTTCTGGATTTTTTCGGTCATTTTATAGGTCTTTTTTTAATATTTTCAGGTCATCAAAATCCGGGCCCTGCATATTACATTTTTGGGTCATATTTTAGGTAATTTTTCTGGATTTTTTCGGTCATTTTATAGGTCATTTTTAAATATTTTCAGGTCATCAAAATCCGGGCCCTGATTATGACATTTATGTCGTTGAGTTCTGATGAATTTCAGCACACCTGATGATGGCCGAGTAGGCCAAAATATGTAGTGCAGTGACAAATTATAAAAGGATTAAATTTCTAAATCCTGATGTCATGTGGTGGATGATAAACAGTTGAAAATAAATTCTAATGTCATTCAGATTTGTAATATATATATATTGACATTATGCCTGATGTGAAATGTCTTTCCACACAAAAGAAAAATATCTTTTAAAATCGTTTGAATAGTTGAAATTATTTGATTCTTGGAAGGTGGTTATTGAGGTTGGAGGACAGTATTAATGAAGATATTAGGGAGCTAGTTGTAAAAATAGCAGTTGGATGGAACTGCAGGACCTTGTCTCAGAGGAGATTCTGACCAACTAACTAATGAGCTCCACAGAGCTTAGCCACTCTTGAAAAGCCACCAGTTGCTGAATTACTCAAGAATGTCCCAACATAACATGGAACCTGAAGGTTCATTACTACGTTCACAACAGCCATCCACTCTTTCCTATCCTGAGCCAGATGAATCAAGTCTGTACCACCCCATCCTGTTTATCTAAGATTCATTTTTAGCCTACTTTCCTTATTTTGAAAAAATGAAAGGGATCTTAATGAGTTCACCTTCCCCTCTGACTGACTGCTAAATTGCTGCTGGCCCTTGCCAGCACAGTAATTCTTGGTTCCAAGATTATAGTTTACTATCTGATGGCCTTTGCTGTCAGGTTGGGTCAGGTAAATTGCTGCTGGGCTCTGCCAACATAGTCATTCTTGGTTCTGAGTCCTGCAGGACTCAGAACCATATTTTATTGTCTTGTGTGTGTGTGTGTGTGTATATATATATAACTTTGAGGTGGGAAACTTCCAGCGTCACCTTCAACAGATGGATGTGTTGTTTTACTCACAGTCCATGTCCTATCAAAGAAAAGCAGACAATTGGTTCTTGCCAGAATGTCTTGTACTATTACCCTCCCACCTATGTCTTGGTCTTCCTGCTGGCCTCTTTCCTTCTGGTTTTCCAACTGAAACCCTATATGCATTCCTCTTCTTATGTGGGCTACATGCCGCGTCCATCTCATCCTTTGTGACTCGATCATTCTTATTATGTTTGGTGAAGAGTACAAGTTACGAAGCTCCTAACTGTGCAGTTTCCTCCAACCTCAACAGAGAATTCTTTCGAGTCCAAGCCCTGTGTAGCATTTCATAATGAATTTTTATGGCAGGGAGTTGTGAACTCCATGCCCAACCCCAAGTTGGAGGCCCACCCCTTTTTGACTATCTGCAACAGCTTATTGAATATATTTGATGCTGCCCTCCATTCACAACTTGAGGATGTGCTATGCCTTGGTAACAAGGGACTCACTTAACGTGTGGAGATTCTGACACCAGATATTCAGAACATTGTATCATCTGATGCCTTTAAATATAACATGTGGAAAATAATAGTAAACATGGATTTGAGAGGCTGTATTGTGTATCTGTCAGAAGTAGGTTACTCTGACTTTCAGATTTTCCTCTTCCTTTCGTATGGCAGGAGATTGAAATAATATTCATAAGATTTTATTCTTTTTAAGTATGGTATGGGAGGGAGAAATAGTCAGATTTGTCTGAGGTGAAAAGCTGAGCAAGTAGACATGCAGATGAATGACAGATACTGTGAAATATGTTTTCTTTTTTTTTTTTTTTTCCAGGCATAGTAGAGATGGCTTCATTCAGAGAGTTCTCAAGTGCCCTTCTGGTACCTTTCAGAAGAGGAAGGTAGACCAAAACACCAGTGATACTGATGCTGTATTAGTTGACATGAAATAGTTACCCAATTATTTATTACCTAAAATACCTCACACCCAGCAGCGTAGAATGCATTCCTCATCAAAGCGATTTTCTTCATTTTGCTGGTATCCATCAACCACTCCCATCTCCACAATTGTTGCAGCAGTAGTTGTTCTGACTCTCATTGGACATGGATTTGCATATCTGATCATCGTAACAGAGGATGAACCACCTGGTCATGTGGTGTTCAATTCCACATTACCACGACTTGGAAGGTAGGTGAAGTAATGTTTCGTCATATACCAGGAATCTTTTTGGGGGTAAAGGGCATAAGGCTGACAGACTCACTGCCATCTGTGAGCCGAACATCTAAAAAAATGTTGGAACCTTGACGTCTCAAAACACCATGGGCCTCCAGGGGCCATGTGGTAGCATAGTTGGTTGAGGCAAAATGTTACAAGCTGGAAGGTCGTGGATTCAGTTCCCAATGAGGTCACGGGATTTTTCAGTTGAACTAATCCTTCCAACTGCACTGTGGCCTTGGGTTTGACTCAGTCTCTATCAGAAATGAGTGCCAGGAATTAATTAAAGAATTTTCCTGGGTAGTAAAGCGCGGCTGGCGCATAAAGCTGACGACCTCACTGTCATCTGTGAGTTGATTGTCTAGAAAATGTGCTAGCCTCAATATCTCACAACCCTGCGAGCCTGTTAGAGGGATAGCTTTATCTTTTATGTTTAGAACTGGTGGGGCTGAGGTATCACTTTCATATTAGATTTGAGGTTCTCAGTGAAAGCTATGAAGGCCATGATCTGCTAGCTTGTAACAGCCTGTATTTCATACGAACATACTTCCATCAGCATTGTTGGAGGCAATATGTTCTGCTGAAACATCAGTAACCTCCTACAAGACTGTTTTAACCTTGTATCAAGAAGAATCAAAAAGTAGATCTGTAAAATTTATCAAATCAGACATTTAGGTGCAATATGTAATGACTGTTTCTTACTTATATTGCTTGAATAACATCAGTCATATTAACATTGTCATTGCTTTTGTGAATTTTTTGTAAATAAAACATTTTGTCAGCAGGAACAGACATTACAAGATCAGTACCCACCGCAGCGCTGCCTTTGTTCATCGAATACTTCACGTCGATCCCAACAATGGCCAAGTTATCCTGAAAAGGCATTTGGAATGTAATGGTTTATTCTATCCGAATCTCTTCACACTTTATGTTGATTCCACTACAAATGAGACACGTGGAGTTGACTATTATTCCCTGCCATTGAGGATATTTATCACCGGTGAACAGTGTGAAAAGGAGAGTGATTCAGAGGATGAAGAGATGAACAGAATTCATGTTAAAGTGTCAGAAGCTAAGAAGTAAGTGTACTTCCTTAACTTTACTTGCCATGACAATGTGTTACCTTGTTTTCATTGACAGTTCTGATAAATCCTTGTATTAAATCCTGGAGCTACCAAGTATAACAGGCTTTCAGTAGTTTTACGTATCTATTCATTCAAACATAACTCCTTCCACAGCAGGATCAACCTACAAGAGATACAAAATCATAAAAACTTGCACAACGCCCACATGTCGTGTGGAACACATAACACTAGAAACCTACACAAGATCATGCAAGAGAAAACCACTTCTGCTGTGATCACAAAACAACACTATTCAATAACATCGTCCACAACCATAAAAACATTGATATTTTAATACAGTACTACTTTGAATATAAGCCGCCCTCAAATTAAAGCTCATCCAATTTCTAAATGAGGGTTTTATGAAAAAATTAGGAAGGTGTGTTTATTTTATTGAGTTTATTTAGAATACATCACTTCATATAACATACTTAGAATGCTTTTGAAGTGAAAAGTAAGGGAAAATATACCAGCATGAAATGGAAATTTAAAATTTTCACTACATGCAGTTCCTGTCTATCTTTTTTATTTAATCAGAAAGTCCGTGCAATGATCCTTCAGTCGCACTTTCATTTTCTGAAGATTATGCACCCTCACCACTTTGTTTGCTGCCATCCCAAAGAATGTCATCTTGTGTCCCATCTTCCACATTAGACAAAGGGCGCTTTAAAGATGATTTTGGAATAGTATTGACTGGCACTTTTCTCCAAGCTTTTCATATCTACTCCACCCCACTCCATTGATGCTCTTTCTATTTTGCCACAAGATGTCAATATATGATTGTCTTTATTCAGCCAGGCATGGACAAATGCTTGAATGGTTTGTTAATTGACACATAAAGTGGTTGTAAGTGACTTGTCATGCCACTAAGAATTATCGCTAGCTTGGTGTTTTTGTTCCTTATCATTTCTGATTCTATCAGAGACATGGCCACAAAATGCATCCATTCCAAGCTTTGATAATGCACCAGGGCAACATTCCCATACATATCCGTGCCAGTCTTCCATTAACTCTAATGTCGTCCAAGAATTTTGTGGGCCTGAACTATTACATCTTTGCAAAAATTTTCTTCTGGCAGTGTCTTTCTGTTTAATATCATGTATTACAGTCATTTATTGTCATTTGCAGTTATTCACAGTCTGACGATAATATGTAACTTTTCGTAGCTTGTGGTTTTCATTGCCACTTGTTTTTCCCTTTGAAACTTAAGGTATAATTGTGAGGCATGTTGAAAAAAACTGCATTTTTGTCTGCATTGCTGATTTGACTTAGAGAATACTACTTATTTTTTCAGTGTAGCCCAATAACAAAAAGCCAAAATTCAATGAGTTTAGTTTCAAATTCTAAAGGAAGTTTTTGAGTAATTTTTGTCCTTCATTGTATTGATAAACTTTCTCTCTTCATGAACTTTTGACACCATACACGACTACCCTTGAAAGATATATTATTATTACTAGGACTTTCGTTTGCTTTTGATATTAAGGCCTCCCTAGTTACAGGTAATCCTTTATTTCATAAATGTTTGAAATACTCTAGAACAGAGGCATCAATCTTTGAATTTCTCCCTTTCCTTGGTCCAGAAAAAGACCTTCTATTTGTCAGATATGAAAACAATTTTGTTTTTAAACTTCGCCACTGACGAACACATACCTCACCTGCTGTATGCTTTCTGCTAGCTGCACGATTACCTGTCTTTTCAGTGCACAGAATAACTTTTCTTTTGAATGTGGCATCATATGTAAAACGCTTTTCTGTGGGTAAAAACAGATAGAAAACTGAACACACCTGAACGATGAGAATGTCATGCAATGACTAAACTGAAAGTTATGGGTCGACTCAGCATTTAAATGTCAGGGTGATGATGTGGCTTGATGACTACTCAAAATGAGTTTATTTTTTGTTATCTCCAGGCTACCCCGTGGACAGTTTGCAACTGGTAAATAATACCTCGAATTTGAAGTGCACCTCAGTTTTTCAGTGGGGAAAAATGTGAAAAATTTGCGTTTTCTAGTTGAAGTAATAGAGTACTTTAACATATAGTTTTATATATTGGCACTGGAGAGGAGACACCTCTACAGTGATCCAGAAATAAACATTGTTTAATAACACCACAACAAATGAAACATTTTAATAATTTAGTATTTTAATGTTTTGCATCTAATTCAATACATTGGCATTAACATTGACAAATGACATGTATGGATCTCTCCCAGTTGTAAATACTTGCCAATGTAGGGGAAAGCACCAACAAAGTATAGAGTCAGTGTAAATATTTTGCCTTATGAAGGCCATAAAGAGATGAAATATGATGTAAAATAATATATAAAATTCATACATGAACTGTGATGTTGGAACCAATAATAAGTTGTTCACACACACTACGACACAGAAATACAATATTCCTATGGCTTGAGTGAGTCTGTACAACTTCTATACCAAGAACCAGGGTTTGGCACATTACCTTAATGTCGTCAGTCTTGCTGATAAGAAATCATCTCCGTAATTAATTTAATAACATTTACAGATGTGTATGACGCCTTAGTGCAAGTGATTTGGAATGTTCTTCTTATTTTCAGGAAACTTGAAGAATGCTGTCTCCTGGAATATGATGCCATGTAGTCTGGTAGAAGTTTACCAACATTTCACAGAAATGTACTGCCTGCATCTTCATGGCCAGTTGGTTGAAGAGTTGTTATTCTTTGATCAAAGAATAGTCACTCTTTGACTAAAGAGTAATTACTTTATGGCCTTGAAGATGTAGGCAGCACATTCATCCAAACTGTTGGACTACATGGAGTCACATCTGCAAATGTAGTATTCATCTTAGTCATTGCTATAAGAACATTTAATTTCAGGAAACTAGTCCATTGCACAGAATATTTACTGCAAATCATTCTAAGCTCCTTCCATCCTCTGGGTATCTTACTGTCCTTTTTATTACAGGTGGATCAGTGAAACATTTGCATCATTTGCGATCCCTGGCACAGAAGAATGGAAAGAGATTTGCCTAAGAAAGAGTCAGTTCATAAACAGTATTGCTTCTTTCCTGCCTTCAACAGTTCTGCAGCAGTGCCATGTTCGCTACTTAGATGTTAGTGATCCAAGATTCAGGATAGAAACAAGAGCTGGTGATCTGGTATCGTCTGCAGACCAGTGCATTGTCGAGCCTCTGTGGAAGGTAAGCTATCTTAAAAAGAGTCGCCAGGGAATACTGGGAAACAGGATAGGACATAATTGCAGAATGTAGATACATGTTGGATGGTGGCCTGTTTATACTGTTTGCAAATCTGAACGAAATTTACACACTTGCCTTTGTTCCTTATTGTGTTATTCTAAGCATTCTGTTCTTGAGATTAATGTATTTGTGTTTCCTGATAGTGATTTATTTAGGCTGTCATAGAGGTACTGGTCCTCTTAATCTGTGGAGTTTGGGTCCCGAGGTGAGCTGAATTTCTAGATCTTATGGATATCTGGTTGTAGGCCAAATTGCTCATCCATTACTCTAGCTTGGCCTGTGACACTGGAGCGATCAAGTGGAAACGTTTCGCTTCAGTGCTGCCTTGTCCACATCAGCAGTCTTTGCTGGGTTTACATTTTTGCAAACATCCATTAATTTCACTACCTCACTGTCAACATAAAATTTAAGCAAATGTTCATTCTGTTTTGTAAGATCATAGATGGTAGGTTCACCTACCAAAAGCAATTAATCATTTCATGCAGCCCTTCTTTAATTTTATAAGTAACTGTACCTTCCTTATACTTACCACAAAATGCTTGTCAGTATAGTGACTGGCTACAGGCTGGACGACTGAGGGGTCAGAGTTCAAGTCCTGGTAGGGTCAACAATATTCTCTTCTCCAAATTGTCCAGACTGGCTCTGGGGTCCACCCAACCTCCTATCCAATGGATACTGGGGGCTCTTTCCCCAGGAGTAAAGCGGCTAGGGTGTGAAGCTGACCATTCACCTCCAACAAGTGCCAAGGTCAAGAAAATGTGGATCTATACATCCATTCCCCCATGCATCTTCATGGCATAGTGCTTAATTTGTTGAGCACAGGGACAACTTTACTTTTACTTCAGTCACTGGGCTTCCTACTTGCCTTTCAGACACATCTTTTATAAAACAGGACAGGAGTAAATAACCAAAAGTAAAAAGGAGAAACAGAGTGGTTAGCCATTAAACTGTTCATCAACTGCTGCCAACGTGCCAGTTTAAAAATAAATGTGTTTCTGACCCTCCCAGATTTCTGAATACCAGATGAGAAATTTAATATAAATTTTTATTTTGTTTGCTCGTTGGTATCTGAGTTGCATTTCACCCAAACACTGTTACACATGCTGTCTTTTCCTTTCAGGTTACTGTATTACTGGAACTTTATTGCAACACAAATATATATCGTAGTGAGAACAAGCATAGTAAGTTTGGTCTGGTTTCTGCCACAGAACACCGTCTAAAGCTCGTTTACCATCACCAAGCTCTCAATGATACTGATATAGCCCACAGGTATGTACAGAATTATGTTTTTATATAAGACTGATAAGATTTGAGATCCTCTCTATAGTGTATATTAAGTTTGCAGTCTTCTGGGATATGTCCTGACGTTGGTCGTAGAATTTATTTATTTATTTTTAGTTCACTTAATGATACTGTCAGTAACTCAGTCTCAGTGTTTAACAATTGAATGACTGCTAACCGTGAATTGAAAAAATATAGAAGGAAGTGCTCATGGCCTCAGGACAGTCCTAGCTGAGATTGAAACAGAGTACCATGTGAATGCAAGTGAGAAGGATTACCGCTTGAGCCAACTTGCTTGGTAACTTTTTTTCATTGCTAGTAGGGTGGGACTAAGTCCCTTGTACTGTGGCCACTTCTGACCTATTGTACCAGCCCCAGATGATAGCTGAGGGTGATTGTGGAGCAATTGGTGGAATGAAGATTGGCAGGGGAAACCAAAGTACTCGGAGAAAACCTGCCACAGCGCCACTTTGTCCACCACAAATCCCACTTGACCAGACCTGGAATTGAACCTGGGCCGCCATGGTGGGAAGCCAGCGACTAACCGCTTGAGCTATGGTGCGGCCCTGCTTGGTAACTTAGTACAAGATTGCTAACATTCTGAAGGAATGTGCTGGCTTCATTTTTAGGATGTTGTTAGAAAATTATTTCATATCCTAAAAGACTGCTGCCTTAAAATGAATAAGGTTTGGGCATGTACATGCAGTTTTAGAATTGTGTTGTTAGTTTCATTTGAATAGATTCAGTTTCTTGTCCATGTACTACAGTCAGAAACATCTTGTACTTCAGACTGTACCAGCCATATTTGCCTGTGTATGAGATGGTTTTGTTCCTAATATAGCCTCTGAAAGAATATGGGTTATGTGTTAACCAGAGATGAGCAAAATTACTTCACTAGGACAGATGTTTACATCAGCAATATTACAGGTGACTCAGTGTATACAGGTGTAACATTACTGCATATGGTACAGGCTGTGCTACAAGTCGGAAGGTCGCGGGTTCAAGTCCTGATGAGGTCATTGGATTTTTTTCAATTGACCTAATCCTTCCAGCTGCACTATGGCCCTGGGGTTGACTCAGCATCTAACAGAAATGAGTACCAGGAATTAATTAAGTAATTTTCCTGGGGAGTAAAGCTCGGCTGGCACGTAAGGCTGACAACCTTACCGCCATCTGTGAGCCAATTGTGTAGATAGTGTGGGAGCCTCAGTGTCTCACAACCCTATGGGCCTTCATGGCCTGGTACAGGGATAGCTTTACTTTTTTTACTTTATTGTTTATATAATGATGCTATCTGTAACTTGGACTATATCGTGTTGAATGATCGCTTGGATTATGGTGAATGATGATGAACTGGAGAGGATGTGATACTGAAGTTGTCATGGCCTCATTTAAGATATTATCCCAACATTTTGCTGGAGGGGCTAAAGATAAACCATGAGAAAGCCAGTCAGGATAGTAGATGTCCTGGATAAACTTTGAAGCAACTGATTCTGGACTGTATTACTGCCTGAGATAACTAATGGACAGATGTAGGCAGTTAAACCACATGTTCGTTCATACTGTGACATGTATACCCATTGCTAGGCAAGGACTTGGCAAAGATGTGCCTATGGTAAAGGTACCTCAATAGTAGAGAGGCTGTTTTCTATTTGATCTTCAGTGTGACTTTTGCCATGCAATGGTGCGGTAGACATGCCTAAAACAATACTGGACAATAGAAGACGATGTTTTCTATGGGGTTCATGCAAAGTGATTATAAAGAAGCATTTGGTAGCATAGAGCAGTAGAGAACAGTAGCCAAGTAGAGTGAAGAGTCAAGTTTTGAGACACCAGCTTGCCAGGATATGAACATGGAAGCAGAGGAATTGAATTGATTTGAGTCTTTGGAATTGGCAGCTGCAGCATAATGGTAAGAAAGGAAATGGACTGTGAAAAGAAGACTTCATGTGTAATTTGAAGTGACAGTGAGGCTGTTATAAATCTGTTGACAGAAAATGTGTAGTGAAGACATTGCAGAGAGACAGCCATTTTGGGGAAGCTGTTAGCAATTACAGACTAGTGAAAGTAGACTGAGGAGGCTTAGTGTGGAGTGATTTGTAGTGTATAGATCAGCAATAGCACAATAATTACCTGTAGTCTCAAGTTATATGTATAAGGTGTCAATAAATCCTACCATCTAATCCAAAACCCATCTTTCAAGTCACGAACAAAACCCCCCTGCATATGACAATACATTTAATATTCAGACAGTATCATTTATTGTAATCATTTAATTGGAGGCTCATAAAGCACTGTAAACAGTAGCACTGCCTTCTCATGTGTAACTTGTTCAGGCAGTACTTTGTTTTAGTCATAATTGGTATTTTACTTGTAATGTGTTGTCACGTGTATGAGTGACTCTTGATGGGGTTTTGGATTGGATATTGGATTTATTGACAACTTACAGATCATAACTACAAATAACTATAACACTATTGCCGATTTCCATATTTTACAAATCACCCCAGCACATGGTAAGTCTTTTCAGTCTGCTTTCACTAGTCGTGTCCTGGCAGCAGATTTTAGCACCGTAACTATAACTGTCTCATTGAATCACACTCCAAATATCACTGTAACCACACACATAAAGCCATCTCTTCACTGCCTGACTTTCAACTGACTAGCTCCCAGGCAGGCAGCCATTTCACACCAATCTACCAGTCTTCTTTTCACATCCTGATTTTCAACTGAGCACTGAAGTCATTGCTCCAGACCATCCCGGTTATATCATCTTGGCACAGACTCCGTAGAAAACACTGTTTTCAACAGTTTCTTTATTGTTGCATGTGTAGCCATTGCCACGGGAATGTGTTTACCAAGCCATTCCCTAGCAGTGGCCACCTGTTCTTGCGTATTTCACGGTCAGTGCTCATAAATGGGTCTGTATGCCACATTATTCATTGATATGAGAAACACAGATCCCATGATTTGTAATTCTTTCATGCAGAGTACGGAGGGAACTCCGAAACCAGTCACCCTACTTTGAACAAACCTTGTATGTGGCTTCCGTGATGGAAGAGCGACCACCAGCTGTTGTGGTAACCACAGTGAAGGCCAGGGATCCTGAAAATTCTTCTGTTAGCTACTCCATGCTGTCACTTTTGGATTCACGCTCTCAAGGTCAGATGCTAAGTAAAGAATGAGGCTTTAATTGGAAGTTGGTTTCTTGATGTACATATAGATCAGCTGTGTTGTGATGTACCCAGCAATAAATTGTAAGTAACATATAAATGGCATGCTAGATAGTAAAATACCAAAATTAGCATGCGTATACATTCCCAGAGGACAAAAAGATGTGGGAAGACTCAGAAGAATATGGGAACATCAGTTTCAAAAACTTATGAACATTTGAATGGGCTTGTAGCACCCATTCCTCAAACTAGAATAAGGACATAAAGATAAACTCATCCCCTTTGTTAATTAATTAAATACGACACCATGAAGACATACGGGGGAGTGATAGCTCCACCATTCTTGATCTCAGCACTGGATAGAGGTGAGTGGTCAGCTTCACGCTCTGGCCGCTTTACCCCCGGGTAAAGAGCCTTCGGTTCCAGTTTGGTAGGAGATTTGGTTGGTCTGGATGCTGTAGAGAAAAGACAAATTTCTTGCCTTTGCTGGAAATTGAACCCTGGCTGTCTCACCGACAGATGTTGGAAGAAAAAGGAGGTTATTTTAACACCTTTGCTTCCATAAATGAGCTTTGTCATTTGCAGGTTTTGTGTTCAGGCTACTGTAGAGATATTCAATTATTTAAGACAACTGTGTGACAGGGTCAACAATGTTTCTTTCTGAAAGTGCTTTTAGGAGGTTGTTTTTCCTCTGTGAACTAGATGGTGTGTACAGACTGCTGGTGTACTAATGAAAATGGCAAGATGGGAAGTAAGCCAGCAGCATAGGTGCTATATATAGGTGCTGAGTGTGAAAGTGTTAAACTCATATTTTGTTACATCCTGCTGTGTCAGTCACTACAGTAATATTTATGAGTGTTATCCACAAAATAAATTCCATTTGCAAATATTGCCGCTGCAGTGCTGTGGTCACAATGGTGCACATGCATGCAAAGTCTGTTGGTCCTTTGGGAAGGCATGGACGCCATTTGCAGACAGTCAAACCGTGGTTACACATCGTCCCGTGTTTACAGTATTCAAGAAAATTGAGAAGCCTGCCACATGTGAAATGTGCTCTGTAATCCATTTCTTGAATGCAAGAAACATGAAACTGGCTGACATTCGTCAGCTTTGTGAGGTGTATGGAGAACATGTCATGAGTGATTCAATGATATGGAGATGAGTTCTCACTTTGCTGAAGGGCGCAGAAATGTGCATGATGATTGGTAGAACAGCTGACTGTCTGTGGTTAATGAAGATTTCGTGTGTGCAGTGGAAGAGAAGATTCAAGAGAACAGACCATTCACCATTTTGTCACTATCCCTGCATTTTCCACAAATTTCATGGTCACTTACAGAAGAACACAAAATGAAACAGCAGGCCAGTGCATTGACCTTTCTGACACGATACAGTGAGTAAGGTGATGACTTCTTGAGCCACATAGTCATGTGACGAGACATGGGTGTCGCACGTAACCCATGAATCAAAGCAGCAGTCCATGGAGTGGAGGTGATCTTTCCACAACTCTCCTCACCTGTGCCTCACAGAATCAATAAGCCTTTTCAACGGCTCCATGTAGAATGTCTGATTAACAGTGGTCACTTCAGGTACAAAATCAAAGTGGATGGTACCCTTGATGTCGGAAAAGCAGATCAGCATTATTTTGATCTTGGCCTTCAACATCCATGGCTTCTTTGGCCTGAGAGAGTCTTCGATCTCCACTCCACGAACTGGAATTTTGCTATTTGGCGATTTCTGCAGTTTAACACAAAACTTGACATTCATTCTGTGTTCCATTCTATGTTCCATTTCCACGTCTGGACAAAGTTGATGAGGCACAGTGGTCTAACTAGCTACTATTCAATGAATGATGGACTGTGAGCTCTGTCTTGTATGCCAGGTAACAGCACTGGCAGATCACCTGTCATGAAATTAAAAACAAGTCTTGAAACGTTATTTGCCCGACCTTGAGTTTTTTTTAATCTGTTGCTTAACATTTTAATTATTTTGTGAAAGTCATAGATATTGACCGTTTTATGTGTGTGAATGTGAACGTGTGGCACTGAAAATGTGAAGTGCATAGAATGCTGGAAATGGTGTTGTGTTGACAGGAATATAATAATCATTATCTATAGAAAGTGTTGGTGTTATACGCCTTCAAATATGTTTTTGGATGGATAAACTTAGCTTTATAAGATCTGAGATTTTCACAGCAGTGACTATGAAGATTGCCATCTTCTGTGATGTGGCGCTGTGTAGATATTGTCTAAACTGACGTTTCAGAGGAACATATCACCTCCTTCTGCAGCCACCTGCTCACGCTGGTTCCTCGCTCTCTGATTTTTCCTTCTATCCTGAAGATGGAGGTGACATGTTCCTCCAAAACATCGATTTACACAATATCTACACTGTGACACATCCCAGAAGATGGCATGCTTCAAACTTAGTTTTATTATTCAGTTTGTATAGCAGATTCTTTTTAAATGGATGGAATTTAATTGAATGTCTAACTATTCCCTGAATTCTTTGTCATTGCAGGGATGTTTTCAATAGATAGTGGTACGGGTGTTGTCACTACGCTTACAAGCCTAGATCGTGAGCTCGTTGAGCTGCATTATTTCCGTGTGACTGCTGTCGATGACTCATTTCCACCAAGGAGTGGAACTACTACATTACAGATCAATGTTCTTGACGCTAATGACCATGCTCCGGTGTTTGAGTCCAGTGAATATGACGCATCGATCCGAGAATCTGTTTCTGTTGGATCCACAGTTGTCACCCTTAAAGCCACCGATCAAGATGTTGGGCGCAATGCTGAGGTAGCCAAGCACTCTTAACTCATTTATAAGTGTCTATCTATCTGTCTGTCTGTCTGTCTGTCTTTATTCCTGTTGCTCCCACTGCATCCTGTTGCATCTGCATTTCACTTCCATTTCTTAATCAGCCCCAGAATGTTATGACCAATCACTGTACACATTAAAATATATTGTATAACTGAATTTAGTTTAAAGAATGACCATTATATGTTCTTTCATAGGTTGAATACTCCTTGGTAAGTCAAGATGGAAGTGGCAGTGTAAAAACAGATGCAGAATTGGAGGATGCTTTTCGTATAGATCCAAAATCAGGTGTAATAACAACTCGATCTGCGCTGGATCGTGAGAAAGTGGAAGTATACACTTTGGTTGTTATGGCAACAGATCAGGGTCTGCCTTCAGCTGGAGGTCAAAGGTCATCAACATCGACCGTGGTGGTTCGAGTTTTAGATGATAATGACAACTACCCTCAGTTCACTGAACGGACATACACAGTACAGGTGCCAGAGGATGTTAATTGGAGTGAAAACCCTGTCATTGCTGCTGTCAAGTAAGATACTTCTATCTATTTGCAGTCATTAATTACTTAACTGTGGCTTACGTTTGTTAAAATAAAGTAAATGGTAAGTAACTAACTCCACTGAGAAGAATCCTTCTTCAGATTCTAATAGTTGCTTAACTTGTGAAGGAATTCAGCTTTTATGGAAACTGGAAGGTTCATTACTATGTCCACAAGAGCCCACTATTAGTTCTTGTCCTGATGCAACCCACACCTTTGTATCCTCTTTCTTTAAAATCCACTTTAACATTTTTCTTCCGTCTGTACATCACTCTCCAAGATGATATCTTCCTTCCTAAGAATAATGTTGTGCCTGTTTCTGCCCTCTTCCATGTGTGCTACATGCCCTCCAAATTCTGTCCTTCATTTGATCATCATCATAATATTTGGTGAGGAGTAACAGTTATAAAGCTCCTTAATGTGCAGTTTTCTCCAGTTCTCTATTAGTTCCTGTCTCTTTGGTTCAAATGTTCTCATCAGTGCCATCTCAATATGGGGAGCACGTGGTAGCACAGTTGGTTGAGGCATTATGCTGCAAGCTGGAAGGTTGTGGGTTTGACTCCTGATGAGGTCATTGTATTTTTCTATTGACCTAATCCTTCCAGCCACACAATGGCCCTGGGGTCGACTCAGCCTCTAACAGAAATTAGCACCAGGAATTTTCCTGGGGGTAAAGGGCAGCCAGTGTGTAAGGCTGACAACTTCACTGCCATCTGTGAGCTGTCTAGACAATGTGAGTGCCTCACCATCTCACAACCGTATGGGCCTCCACAGCCTGTTACAGGGAGAGCTTCACCTTTTTGCCTTTACCATCCCAATCTGTGTTTTTCCTTTTATGTGAGAGACGAAATTTTATACCCATACCAAAAACAGGTGTAATAGATGCTAAAAATATCCATACAGATCATCGTTATCAAAAAATAAAATGTTAAATATCTGAAACATGGTTTCTAATATGTCATGATATTTAGAATGAAAATATTTTTCCTGTTTAGTTCCATGTATAGTGTTTGTATGAGATATTTGGGCAGTATATTTGATATGTATTGTCTTCTAATAGGGAATTGTAAACCCGTGGGACTATGTGTCTTGTGTCCAGATTTTAAATCAGGGGGTAAATTGTATTGTATTGAAAAATAGATAAAGCTTGGCCAGATGGACTGTGGGCATCAGCTGTGCAGTGCAGTGCATGACAAATGCAAACTGAACTGTTACGTTTGTCCCCTGAGTATATGAGAGTCACGTTTGGGTGATACTGTCCAGAAGGAGCAGTTTAGCCCTTTACTTTGATAAAGAATTCCCAATGAAAAATGCGTGTTGGATTTCAAGAGTTTTGCAGACAAAAGGCATTACTTTCCATAAAAAGTGTATCTCCTTGGGATATAATGCCTCTTAAGTCTATTGAAAGTCAACTGACAGCTAGTAGCCTGTTTCGTACTGGTTTGTTGCTTGGCTTACTCTGCAACCCTCAAGACGGAGGTTGACTTTCAAGTGATTACATGATGTTTTACTCTTCATAACCACTGCTGTGAGAACCTCAAGTCCTACACAGTATATCCCCTGTCAAATTTTGGATTTCTGTAGTGGTGACTACGAAGTGTATGGTCATACTCTAGTATTAATATAGCAAGAAAATCCTAAGCAATATAATGAAAATATTAAGCATCATGTCTACCTGAATTATCATTAAGCAGTTTCCATATGTGTGTAATATTTTTCTGTTTAAGAGCTGTAGATGCAGACCAAGGCAACAATGCAGCCATACGATATGCTATCATTGGAGGCAATACCCAGGGTCAGTTCTCAATTGATAGCCTTAGTGGGGAAGTATCTCTGGTGAAGCCATTGGATTATGAGACGCTTCGAAGCTACAGACTTGTGATTAGAGCCCAAGGTAAGTTCTCATAATGTGTGAAGAGGTGTCACTGGTGACACTGTCATATTATGGGACACTTCGAAGCTACAGACTTGTGATTAGAGCCCAAGCTAAATCCTTGTAATGATTCAAATGAGTACTATGATTTTTCTTCAGAAGGAAGAATTTTAAAAGTTTTCATATTTGAATTGTATGCCTTCTGAGATACCCTTCAAGGATGAGCTATAATTCTGCAGAATTATATCTATGATAGTAAACTAATGCAACCCATCATAATTATAAATTGCTGTAAAGAGATCATCAGAAGGGAAGAAAACGCTAAGCAATACTTATTACTTCTGTAAGTAAGTAAGAAAGTATGAGGGCTGTTCAGAAAGTAACCTCTGGTGAGCTGTTAACAGAATGACCAGTGAGGGGAATACTCGTAAGTTCTTTTGTGCCTGTGTCAGAGAAGTCTGCCCACCTGTGAGCTCAGCCATGTTTTTACACTTTCCATCAACTCCTCATTATTGTTGAAGCACAGTGATCACAACCAGTTCTTCAGGTAGACAAACGGGTGGTAGTCGCTCGGCGCAAGATCAGGGCTATAAGGAGGGTGGTCAAACAACACCCAGTTGAAATGTTCCAGCATTGCTTGAGCACGAGCAGCCATGTGCAGGTGCGTGTTGTCATGGAGGAGCACTACACTGGATGTAAGCAGTCCACACCTTTTTTTTCTTAATGGCCCTATGCAAATTTTTTAGTGTTTCACAATACAAAATGTGTCTCAGCTCACAGGTGGCAGACTTCTTTGATACAGGCATGCAAAACTTATTCCCCAATACAAAGTGCCTCAGTTCTGGCGGTGACTACATCGAGAAATAGCTTTGTGTATATTTTGTACATAATAATTTTTTTTTTCTTATTGATTGTTTTGTTAATGGTTCACACAGCTTACTTTCTGAATAACCCTTGTAAGTAAGTGTTCCTTGTAAACTGACATATGTGACAGTACCTTTCATGTTAGATGAATAACATGTCACATTTGGAAGAGGATTTTATGAATCTCTGAAAAATTATTGGAATGTACTTGTATTGCTGGAACTGGAATAATGGATCTAAATACAGCAAATGCAAATAGGATTAACCTTACATTAATGAGAGGATAACGACATGAATTTTCTGTTTGCATGGAATTCAGACTTAGGATTTCCAGTAACCAATTTGATGTACCATTTTTCACATTCCAGATGGAGGCAGCCCAAGTCGCTCCAATACAACACAGTTGCTGGTGAATGTCTTGGATGTAAACGACAATGCTCCGAGGTTCTACACTTCTCTTTTTCAAGAGTCTGTTTCAGAGAGTGTACCTGTAGGATTCAGCATTGTCAGGGTAGGTTGAGCATGTAACATGTTAGTATTATGACAAGTTATTAATAAACATTGTAGGTACCTGTACAGATATGTCACACTGTAGGAAATTATTTCACATGATTGTGTAAAAACTAACTGAACTAAAAAACTCCATAGAACGAATTCCTTCTTGAGAAGATAATAATTGGTAAATTATTAAAAACATTACTGGCTTTTATGGAAGTTTTATTACTGCATTCAGAAGAGCTTGTTACTGATCCCTATCCGGGACCAAATTAAATGGGTCCACAACCTCCCATCCTGTTTCTTTTGAGATCTCTTTCAATATTATTTTCTTGTCTGTCTAAGTTTTCTCTCTGGTTCCTTCTTCTCAGGTTTTCTAATGAAGATTATCTTTTCTATCTCCCGAATATGCTACGTGTCCTGCTAATCTCATTCTATTTGATTATGATGATGATAATTGGTGAAGAGTACAAATATGAAGGTCATTATAATACCATTTTCTGCTGCCTTTTGTCAGTTACTTTTAGGTTCCAATATTTGCTTCAGCACATTATTCCCAATATCGGTATACTTCCCTTAATATGAGAGACCAGGATTAACACTCATATAAAATGACAGACATAATTACAATTTTATATATTTTATTTTTATATTCATAGATACCAGACAAATTTCCATAACTGCATAATGAGGAGCTTCATAACTTGTACTCTTCTCCAAATATAATTAGAATGATCAAGTCAAGGAGGATAAGATGGGCAGGGCATGTAGCATGAATAGGGGAGAGGAGGAATGCATATAGGATATTGGTAGGAAAGCCGGAAGGAAAGTGACCACTGGTAAGACCAAGATGTAGGTGGGTGGATAATATTAAAATGGATCTTAGAGAGATAGGATTAGGTGGTATGGATTGGATTGATCTGGCTCAGGATAGGGGCCCATGGAGGGCTCTTGTGAAGACGATAATGAACCTTTGAGTTCCATAAAATGCTGGGAAGTTGTTCAGTAATTGCACAATTGGCGGCTTCTCAAGAAGGGCTCAGTTCCATGAGTGTGTGAGTGAGTGAAATAGCAGACAGGGAGATGTATTCCAAGCAGGGTGGTAGGAAGAATTTCCCAAGTTTAACCTGATTTTAATTCCAAATTGTGAAACTGAATGTAAACTGTGTAGCCTCCATCTTTTAGAAGTTCATTAAAATTTCTTCTTCTGAAGCTTATCTATTTCTGCTGTTCTGTAGGTACAAGCATATGATGCAGACGAGGGGGAGAATGCTGCTATTCGTTATTCAGTTGGACCTCGTGACAATAGTGGCGGATCAACGGCAGAGTTACCTGTTGCGGTGGATGAACGGAGCGGTTGGATCTACACAACACGGGAAGTTGATCGTGAAGAACAAGCCAGATATCAGTTCCAGGTTTGAATCTTGTGCAACATACTTACAGGTTTCAGCAAATTATAGACCAATATTTTACATTATACAGGGCAGTTCAAAATGAAGTAAACACTTAAAGGTCTGTATAATGTTCCTGTAGCCCATACAGATTGGCGGAGACTCCATCCAAGTTTTGTACAAAGTTTTCAGACCCTCTGTGCAAGCTCTGTAAGTCATGTGGCAGACATTGATCTGATACTCCACTGCTTGTAGGCAGCTGTCTCCATCATCCATGTCCTGTGTCATTCCTCACTCACCCATCCTGTACTTCCTGCTATGTCCTCCTCCTCTTCCCTTCCCCTCATACCTTATCCTGGCCTCCTGAGCCTGTTCCTTCATCACTGTCTCTCCCATTGGTGTAGCTCACCTCATGTTTCGGAACAAGTTTGTATTCATTTGGCTTTGGAATTTGCTTTTCTGTTGAGCCATTCTTCTGGGCTCTGTTCTGGATTTTTTTTTATAATTATTATTTCCACTGGACTGCTGCCTGATTTATTGTTATTAATATTACTGCTTTCATCCATCTGTTCATTTATGGTGTTGTCTTTATTTAACTTGCCTTTGTCCCCCACAGTCCCCACTTTGACCTGTGCCAATCTCTGCAGTAGCCTTTTTGTTGTTGCCCTGTTGTGGGGTGGTGTGTTGACAGTTTACATTGATTGTCATGCATACCTAATGGGGGCTGCGTGGTCGAAATTATTGTTGAGTTTGCTTGAAAGCGTGGTCTAAGTGGTGATTGGTGAAGCTGCGTTGAAAACTATATTGTATGTGTATGTATGGTAAAGAAAAAAGGTAAAGCTATCCTTGTAACAGGCCATGGAGGCCCACAGGGTTGTGAGATGTTAAGGCTTCCACATTTTATAGAGTGTAGTGTAACTTCAGGGGCTGCACTGACTCAAATATAAAGCATTATGTGGAATACAAAAGTTGTAACAGAAAATTACATTCCCAAAGATTCGTGTGGGTGAGAAGGAAGAGCATCAGTATTCTAGAGTTAGATTCAGCCATTTGAATTTGTGAAGCTGAAAGTGTTATATATTATGACATGTAAACCCAGTATCAAGTGACAACTGTATAAACATGTAACAGTACATGCTGTTTCCCTGACAATGAGAGAACACACATTAATGGAAGGGACGGTTTCTGTGCAGTCTCTGCTGGGGCTATATAATGAGGACTAGTAGTTCAGTTGTGGTTGAACTACAAAGGAGAAGAGCACAACGAGCTCCCAAGGGAGCTGGGAGGACGTTCCTCTCTAAGTTCACCTTGCCAGAGCAGTCATACGCAGTTGCACTGTGTCAAGACAATCAACACCAGGAACAACAGTCACCACAGACATATGGGAAAAGTTTTGCTGCCTCCCCTTGTGGCAGTGTCTGCCACAACAGGAAATTCAGAAAACAGGTCTCTCAGAACAGGCTCCCAATTTGACTAACACTGACACGCTAAAAATCACCACTGTAGTGCAACAGATCATGACAGAGCTCAGTGAAGCTGTGTCACAAAAAAAAAAAGTCATTACAAAAATAGTACTTAATGAAAAAAATAGCTACTAGAGTCCGTAGACCGCTCAGAGTCATAAAATTTAGTGCAAATGTGCAGTGCTGCAAGCTCAGTAAACAGCCACAGGACTTCCATATACATGTGGCTCAGCTCTCAGAGACACATCTCAAGCCCCATGAGAAGTTCTTCATTCCAAATTATCACTTTTATTGGACTGACCATTTACCAAGAAGAAAAGGCATTCCCCACAGCCACGTACACTTGACAAGGAAGAGAAACCCATCTTCTTGTCAGAGAGGGTGTTACATAAGGACTATGACTGCAAGGTGTCAGTCGAAAAAAAACATCTCCGGTTGTGAGCACAAAGATGAACTGATTTGCGGTAAGCTGCTGGTTGTAAAGTAACTCTGAATGTGAGTTGTAGTTGAGTCAGTTGAGAGTTGCAGTTGTGAGAAGTGAGAAGCTGGTAGCTTAGGCCAGGGCAGTTCGGGTATCAGGAGGAAGGGAAACGTCTGCCAATGAAAAGCTGCTATCAAGCAAGACTTTATGTGTGCTTTAGTCACAGCAAAGTTTGGAGTGTGTAACTCAGTGAGACTGTCATAGTTATTTGTAGTTACATTGTGTAAGTGTTCAACAAATCGAATTACCGATCCAAACCCCCACCTGTAGTCACTCAGTCATGTGACAATGTATTGTGACAGGTGAACCCACTGCATAGAGAAGTGTCACTTCCTAGGTCAAGACAGTGCATGACAACCAGTGTCCATTGCTAGCCAACAGCTAGCTGTTCCTAGGTAACGAATTGTTTGAGGCAGTTGCATGACAACAACAGTGTCCATTGCAAGTCAACGGCTAGGTAAACATGTATTCTTGTAGAAACGAAAGATTCATTTGAATGACAGCAAGAAAATTGAACTATATGAGAAGGTGTCTGCTATTCGGTATGCCAAGAACCTACCTCAGGGAGATTGCACCACATAGGACAAGATAAGACCAGACCAGGGTGGAGATCAGATCAGTGATCAGATCCAAGAAGTGGGAAAGGATGACCAGATATAACCAGATAGAGATCAGAGGTCAGATCAGAAATGATGGACTAGTCAGGTTGCGTCGCCTGGAAGAAGTTATGTCAGAGTGCTTATAGTGATTGAAATTGTAATCGTGAATGAGTTGTCCAATAAAACAGCTTTGTCTAAAGCCGCAACCCATTAATTATTTGTCATGGGACCCCGGACATGTGACAGTATTGTTAGTGCTTTTTACTTCCTATATTTCACAGGTGTTGGCAACTGATGGGGGCAAGCCTCCCAAAAGTGCAACAGCAAGTGTTGTGATCATTGTTCAGGATGTAAATGACAATGACCCAGTGTTTGAACCCAAACTGTATGATGCTGTGGTGTCAGAAGACGATCCTCCAGGCACTCCAGTTGCCAGTGTTACAGCAACTGACAAGGATGAGAATCCAAGGTATGTTGAAACCTTTCATGAAAACTTTAATTTCTCTGTTATTCATTAAAATGAAGCAGATTTTTTTTTCCCATTCAGTTTTATTCATTAGTCTCACTCACAGATTTTGCCAAAACCTGAAATGAATTGAATTGCATCATTTATGATCTGTGGGCATTTAGAACAGAATGCTAAAATGTGGTATAAACTAAAATGTGACACATATGAAGTGTGAAGGCTCAAGCCAGGATCACTTGTTACTTTTCAGAACATTTTCGTATTGCTTTTTCCTTGTGTGTATGGTCCTGAAAGAACAAATTTCCACGCTTCTCTGTTGTTTTTCTTTTGTTTTCATCTCTTTAGTTTTACCTTATGTGAATTCAGCAGGTTTCGAGTGTAACTCATTTCCCTTGTGCCCCTTAGTTAGCCATTTCCATAAATTTTCCATCATCATGTTTCATTAGAAGTCAGAATTACTGAATTTTTTTGGCTTATGTCTATCGTCTGGTATTCTAAAAACCGGAGAACACAGTGTTTCGGAAATGATTTCTGTTTCCATCCTCAGGTGAGGGGAAGATATCTTCTCTGTTGGGATCTCTTAGAAAGAGCTCACCACCATCACTGGGCAACCCATGTCAGTATAAATGCAGCTATATAAATACCTAAGACCAGGCTATTTCGAAGGGAGATGCATGAAAATATGCAATGAAACAATGATAAAGCATCCACAGACCTGAAACTATGATAGAAAGCGGGGGGGGGGATGAAAATTTTATGGAACAAACCTAGCCAACAAACCAAGTCCATGAAATCCCGTGCACAGGATTAAATGGAAAATTTGTTAAACCATTTTGTACCTATCAAACTGATCATCTGTGTGACTTTGAATTGATTAAGTTGTGTTCTCTGGTTTTAGAATATCGGATGATGTGCAAAGTCTAAAAACCCAGTAATTCTGAGTGTTATACACCATTGTCAAAACCCTTTAGAGTCAACCTCTCGTTAGGTTTCTTAACATATGTCATTTCTAATGGAAGGTTCTGAGGGCACATGGTAGCATAGTTGGTTGCAGCACTATGCTAGAAGCTGAAAGGTTGCATGATCTATTCCCAGTGAGGTGGATTTTTTCAGTTGACCTAATCCTTCCAGCCACACTATGGCTCTGGGGTCGACTCAACCTCTAACAGAAATGAGTATCATGAATCTTCTGGGGGGGGGGTAAAGGGTGGCTGGTGCGTGAGGCTGACAGCCTTACTGGCATCTGTGCACCGATTGTGTGGGGAAAATGTGGGAGCCTCAACATCTCATAACACTATGGGCCTTCATGGCCAGTTACCGGGATAGCTTTACCTTCTAATGGAAGGTTCTTGACCTCACATAATTTCCATTGTGGAGGACCTGAGGTATTCTTCTAACTGGCTCTTACCCTTCAACATCTATAGCATATGTGGTCCTACCTGGAGCTTAGGCCCCTGCTAGCATAGCCTTTAATGTTACTGTCATTAAATAAGCCACAGAAACAAAGAATTCATGAGCTTCTTTTGTATGATGGATGAATAATATACAGTGGTTGTACTCCTTACTCTTTTGTTGGTTTTAAGCCATTACTTTGTAGTTTCAATTTCGTTGTCTGCTAGGTTGCACTATGAACTGACTGGAGGAAATGTACGTGGAAGATTTGCAGTCACGTCACAGAATGGGCGTGGTCTTGTAACAGTTGCTCAACCACTAGACTACAAACAAGAGAAGCGTTTTGTTCTGACTGTCACAGCTTCGGACTCCGGAGGTCGTCATGACACAGCCACCTTATATGTCAATGTGTCAGATGCCAATAACTATGCGCCCGTGTTTGAATCTGCTCCATACTCAGCATCTGTGTTTGAGGATGCACCGGTATGTACAGATGAGGAGTGATAAACTAGTATAGTGAAAGTTTGATTTTTTGCTCTTGGATTTATGCAGTTTATATAGAATTTGGGGTTCTCACAGCGGTGGCTCCTTGCCACCTGGTTTCGTGCTGGCTTCTTGCTCGGCTTGTTCTGTGACTTTAAAGGTGGAGGTGATGTGTTCCTCCGCAACGTTGGTTGACTTTCAACATACTACATGGCGTTATATCCCAGTTTTTGTTTGGTCCATTGCCATAAACAGACATTTAAATTGTAACTGACTTTATATGTACTCAGACTTACATTTCTCCTACAGTTGCATTTTAGTTTTCATAGTCCTAACTATCTTGATTTACCCCATTTTATATTGTAGCACATAGACCTGTTGGTAAATTATGACTCCCTAACAACAGATTCCTAACATGCACCAGTGTACTGGCTTGGAAACAGTGTTCTCTATGTATTCGTGTGACAGCTGAGTGACACAACAATAGAATAACTGTCGGAAGCAGTGTTTTGTATGTGGTCTGCACTGAGGCTATATAACTCAACTGACCAAGTTCATTTCAGTTAGTGCAGTGCAGTGGAGTGGAGTCAAGTTGAGTTGAGAGTCGACAAGCACCAGCCAGGAAGAATGTGAGCATGGAAGCAGAGGACACTGTTGAAGCCGTTACCAGGCAACCGGTGAACACACAACAGACTGAGAAGACTTGAGTGTATGCTGTAATGAATTGCAGAATTTGTGAATTAGCGATAGTGCTATAGTTACTTGTAGTTATGATCTGTAAGTGTTCAGTAAATCAAATTACCAATCCAAACCTTATATATAGTCACATATACATATGACAGTATTTACAACATTCTGTTTTTGAAAATTCCAAGAAATATTGGTGCTGTTTCACTCATTTGCACATGAGAATTTTTGAATCTCACATGAGAGAGCTATGCAGACTAATATCCTCCCCCCTTTTGAAGAAAAAACTGACTGGTTAAAGAAATGACATGTCATGTGGATTAGGGTGTTTGCTTTTGCATATGTACTGTGTTCCAGCATGTATACTTTAAATGGCTTCCCAAAGTTGCGTTGTAAAGAACCACATTTTTCTTTATTTTGCACCATTCTAATTTTCCACTGCTACGAAATAGAGTGACTATAGATGGGTCTTGGATTGGAGACTCAGCTAATTGCACACTTTGATACAGCACATGAATACACATTAATGTTCACTGGAGCACACACTTAAGTCTTCTCAGCCTGCCATGTCTTCACCAGTCTTCCAGTAACGGATACCAGTGGCGGACATTCCTCTTCCTCTGGGTTACCGAACTGTCTACCAGCCTCAGCTGCCACCTTCTAACGTCAACTCATAATGACTGACCTGCAGCGGTTATCTCACTCACAAAATCACCAACCAACTGACTGACTCCTCATTTTCAGCACGGGCTGTGTAGAAAACACGTGTCCTCTGTTTCAGTGCAGTTGTTGCCATGGAAACGTGCTTGTTTTTCAGAGCTGTTACTTAACAACAGCTGCTGCATAGTTGCTTATTTCATGGTTGTTGCCTGGCAACGGGACTACATGCCACAATACCTTCGTCGAGTTGTGTTTATTTTAGGTGGTCTCTTCAAAAGTGCAAAATCATGGTTTCAGTATGTACACATGATTGTGACAATTACTGTATGTGATGAAGTCTTCTGTAATAACCATGTGAGGATGGAGTCAAGATGGTGACACATTCATATGTATCCACTGAGTATGCTCGGGGCTGTGCAATCCTGAATCTACTGATGTTCCTTTAGTGTTCCATGCTGGGACAGAACGAAGCACACTCTGTGGGTATAAGTACAATGTACAATGTACTTATCCCCAATGGATGGGAGAGACAGTCTTCAAAACTTTGGATGCTAACTTTGTCTTCTCCCTTATGAATTTTTAGTTAGTACAGTGACTAGGCTAGGCTGACCAAGGAATGTCGGTTGAATTCTTGGCTGGAGCAAGATGCTTTTCCCTTCTCCATAGTGCTAGGACTATCTGTGGGTCCCGCCTAACCTCCTATCCAGTGAGTCCAAGGGACTCTTTTCCAGGTCCCAGGCATGAAGCTACCAGACCACACCTCCATCCAGTGCTGATGTTGAGTATGCATCAGCTATACCTCTACCCCCCTTGTATGTCTTCGGGGCATTAAGCACTGTGGCAACTCTATCTTGACTTTATGTGTTACTGGTTAGTAGCCAGAAGATCTGGATTCAGCTGGCACTGTACCTAGTGCTACAATATGGAAGACATAATTTGAAATTGTGAACATCGAAGTAGTATAGAGTAATAGTTTAATAAATAATTGTTTCAGGTTGGCACCACTGTCCTGGTTGTTGCAGCATCTGATGGTGATGTTGGTCAGAATGCTCAGATAACATACTCTCTCGGCACGGTCGACTCTTCAACTACACCTGAATTTACCATTAATCCACAGACTGGTGCTATCATTACCACAAAAACTCTTGATCGGGAAACTGTCGGTGGTTACTTGTTAACTGTGACTGCTAGAGATGGCGGTGTTCCTCCATTGTCAGACACGACAGATGTCGAGATAATTGTTTCAGATGTCAATGACAACGCTCCAGAATTTCGTAAACCTTCATATATTGGATCAGTTCCTGAAGATGCTTTGGTTGGCACCAGTGTTGTGCAGATATCTGCTGTCGATGCTGATATGGGCCTTAACGGAAGAATTCGTTATGCACTGGACACTGAAAATTCTGGTGATGGAAGCTTTGTTGTTGACCCAACATCTGGAGTGATAAGGACAGCAAAAATACTGGATCGTGAGAGTGTGGCTGTATATGATCTAATAGCATATGCAATTGATAGAGGGTCACCGAGTTTAAGCGGATCAGTGGAAGTTAAAGTTAGAGTTGAGGATGTGAACGATTCACCTCCAGCATTCGACAGTGATAAGATTGTGATGTACATTGCTGAGAATTCACCTGTTGGATCAAGAGTTGGGGAGATTCATGCCCATGATCCTGATGAAGGAGCCAATGCATTGGTGCAGTACTCGATTATTGGTAAGTCTTATTACCACAACTGTAGTAAGGATGGTGCAACGAGGTTACACATATAGGGCACAATAGCAAAACACTTCTATTTTTCATTCCACTATTTTATTCTGAGTTCAGCTATCGTGAACAAAAAATGTAGACAAATTGTTTCAGTATCTACGTACAGGTAGAGCACAATTGCAATGTTGCTGCACCTTTGCAGAAGATAATTTTCATGTGGAATGGATGATTCTATATTCTCCTTCAGCAGGTATGACTGGTAGACAGTTCAATTTGTAGCTGACAGCTGATTTCTGGATATGAGTGGCTCATAAAGGGCTTACTCACTCCACTGTCCTGTTTCCTCTTCATTTCCTCTCTTTCGTGCAGTTCTGTGCCATCACGTACTAATCAAACTATGCAAGCATGTCACTTCCAACATGGAATCAATTTTAAGAGATTTACCACTACAGTTGAAATTTGAAATTCTGTTTAGGATTTTGCAGATACCAGGGAGATGAGGGTTGCTGTGAATAGGTCAGAATACTTGATGTTTCTGCTGAATATTAAAAAAAAAAATATATATTTTTTTTAAACAAGTATAAAGTAAGGTAAATTTGTCCCTGTGCTTATCTACTTAAGCACTATGCCATTAAGTCATCTGGGGAAGTGGATGTATACATCCACATTTTCTTGACCTTGACACTATTAGGAGGTGAGTGGTCAGCTTCACGCCCCGGCCGCTTTACCCCCAATGTATGCCCCAGATACCCATTGGATAGGAGGTTGGGTGGACCCCAGAGCCGTTCTGGACGACATGGATAAGTGAAAATTCTTACCACCACTGGAACTCAAACTCCAACTCCTTGGTCATCCAGCCTGTAGCCTGTCGCTGTACTGACTACAGTACCCTGGCTCCTGTTTATAAACAAGTGGAGAATTGTTATCTTTTTTTAAGTATTTCATTTTGAAGAATGAGTGCTTTCTTGTATCTGAGGTTATCTTATAGTTGGAGAAGTGTAATATATGTTTGTATAAGTATTGCACGTGCTGCACCTTCTAGCAGTGAGGACTAGTTTCAGGTAAGCTGTGTAGCTGTGTATCTGTCATAATTGTAACTGCCTTGTAAACAAGACAGCTGAGCACGTTGGGTCAAGTGATAATGTCTGTGACAGGTATTTGGGATGTGCCTAGTTTGAACCTGAGATGGGACACTGACTGTCTAGATAGATGTTTCTGTGGTTTTCCTCAGTTCCTTGAGTCATGATAGGATAATACTGTCACATATAGGTGTATTGTGCATACTGATCTACCCATTTACACTGTTACATACGCACTAGGGTTCTCAGTCTTCACTAGTCATATTCTGGCAACAGATTTATAATAGTCTCACTGTAACTTCAAATCACACATGAAATTTTCTTATCACAGCCTGATTCATCTCTTGCCAATTATTCTGCAACAGCCAACTTAATTCAATTCCTCTGCACCCGAGCTCATATCCCAGCAAGCTTGTGTCTTTATAGTTGACTAACTCTTCTCAACTGAACTTTTCTTTATAACCACTTTGCATAGACCACGCAGAACCGCAGCCTTTCAATTGTTGGGAAGGTGTGTTTACAGCTTTCCTGCATAGCAACAAAGGTTACCTGATTGTTGCTTGTGTATTTATGGCTGTGGGAATTTGTTTACTGAGTCCTTGCCTAGCAATGTACATTTGTTCTGGCTTCACTATTCCAGCTTTCTGATGTCATGTCACATTATGTTAAATACGGCCACAACTATTTCCTCTACATCCTTTTCACTTCATTGTCATTTGATTATTTGATGTATATAATCCGACTTACTGATGCCATTAAGTAAACAGAACAGGCATTCATTATGATGCCTAAGTGAAATGTTCTCTGTTTCTATGTTTCTTTCTGTTTTGATTGAATTAACTTCATTTTGTAGGTGGAGATGACAGCAACAGTTTCTCGCTGGTAACCCGGCCAGGAAGTGACAAAGCTGAACTTGTAACCATGGTGGATCTTGACTATGAATCCTCACACAAAAAATATGATCTGGTAGTTAGGGCTGCTTCACCCCCACTTAGAACTGATGCACATGTGGAGATTCTAGTGACAGATGTCAATGATAATGCTCCATCGCTCCATGACTTTCAGGTAAAGTAGCTTTGGAAATATGTCCATAATTGTCTAGCATATTTCAGTTCAGTAAATCTTTTTTTCAGCAACAGGGAATTTTAAGTCTCCCAATACAACTCGGTAGGCAACAGGATTCTAACCAGTAGATTCTAAGTCAGAATTACTGGGTTTTTGGACTTTGTCCATCATCCGGTATTCTAGAAACTATAAAACACGACGTTTTGGAAACTGGATCTGTTTCCATCCTCAGGTGGGAGGAGAGATACCTACTCTGTTGGATCCTTCAGAAAGAGCTAACCTCACTCAAGCTGAATCCAGTGATTGGGGTTAGCTCTTTCAAAGGGACCCAACAGAGTAGGTGTCTCCCCCCTCACCTAAAGATGGAAACAGATCCAGTTTCTGTAATGTTCTGTTCTCTAGTTTGTAGAATACTGGACTGTGCACAAAGTCCAAAAATGCAATAATTCTGAGTATTATACACCATAGTCAGAACCCTTTAGAATCTACTAGATTCTAAGTGTTGTGTTCTTTAGAATATCAGACAATGGACAAAGACCAAAAACCCAGTAATTATGAGGGGTAACGGTTTATCATCCAGGATTATGGAGTTTTAAATATGCTGCTTCTACAGGTTTGGTGACTGGATTTTAAGTTGGTGGTAGTGAGAGTTCTGTCTTCTGGGATATAATGCCTTGTATTCCTATGAAAGTCAGCTGATGTTTTGGGGAAACATATTGCCCCCTCCTTCAGGGTCAAAGGTGAAGCTAAGCCAGACCCTACATATAGCAGACAGCCTGCTACACGCTGGTTTTTGCTTAGATTACTTTTAGACCCTGAAGAGGGAGCAGTAACTTGGAGATGCAGGTTTACTTTCACTCATCTGCACGGTGTTATGTCCCAGAAGATAGAACTCCTTATAACTGCTGCTGTGAGAACCTCAAATCCCACACAGATGGTAATGGTTTACCATCCAGGACAGGTGACTTTAAATCTCCCAGCACTGTGGGGTTGGTGACTGGATTGAGGGTCCAGGTTCAGGAGTTTTAAATCCCTTAGTGTGGTACTAGAGGCTGTGCAATGTTGGGGTAATGATATTAGTGTTGCCAAAGTGCTGGAGCTCTGCTTGTGCCTGTGCAGAAATGAAACATAACTACTGAAGGTCAATATGAATGATATGCAGGATTTGAATGTGTGGGCTCAGTCATTTGATTGATGACCATTTTGTGAATAAAAAAATAATAATGATTTCAGTGGGGCACATGGTAGCGTAGATGTTTGAAGCACTATGCTACAAGCCTGAATGTCGTGGGTTCGATTCCCGATGAGGTCATTGGATTTTCAGTTGACCTAGTTATTCCAGCTGCAGTATGGCCCTGGGGTTGACTCAACTTCTAACAGAAATGAGCACCAGGAATCTTCCGGGGGGGTAGAGTAAGGCTGGCAACCTCACGACCATCGGTGAGCCAACTGTCTAGAANAAAAATGTAGGAGCCTCGACATCTCACAACCCTATGGGCCACCATGGCCTGTTACAGGGTTAGCTTTACCTTACTTTTGCCTATGATTTGGATGTGATTAGTTATACTACGAGTATATTTCATTTTGGGTCTGTATAGTAATTCATCATTGTCATATCTTATGTAGTGATTAAACCCCAGTGGAGTACATTATATACACATTTGCTGTATTTCTCATAATTCGCATTTCATCTTTTAAAATGCAGATTGTGTGCATACTAATCCTGACATCGTAGTAACTGCTTTTTGTAACTAGTGACTGATGAGGGGATAATCAAAAGGGAAAGCACAATAGGGCACTGTAGGTCACAGTGCAAGGGCTGAGAAGGTCCACCCCTTATACATTCATTCATTCAGTATATAAGGGTGTCATTGTTTTCTGTAGAGGTAGCTTTGAGCATTCAGGCTTTCGTGTTTTTCTTGTGATTTATTTGATGAAACCATTGGCAGACTGTAGTAATTATCATGGGATATCACCGGTATCACCTTCATGCAATATTTTATTCAATATCCTTCTCTCAAGGTTAAGTCCATACATAGATGAAATTATTTGGGATCATCAGTGTGGGTTTCGATGAAACAGATCAACTACTGATCAGATCTTTTGCATTTGTCAGATACTGGAGAAAAACTGGGAGTACAATAAGACAGTACATCAGCTACTTGTAGACTTCAAGAAAGCCTCTGATTCGGTTCAGAAGGAAGTATTGTACAATATTCTGATAGAGTTTGGGATACCCATGAAGCTAGTTATAGCCTGATTAAAATGTGTTTAAGTGAAACGTATAGGTAAACAATATTATATTTCAGCATCCTGTTACACTCACACAATATATATGGACAAATACCGTCTTAAGTGCAACAATTTTATTGTAGTTTTTACTTCTTTTTCCTCTTCCACACTACATGTTTCGGCCCTAAATGGCCATCATCAGGTGTGTATCACTCACGCAACTGTTACACTGCTTGTTAAAAATTTAAAAACACCAGTCTTTCCAATGGTATAAAATCTTTGTCAATCTACACGCGTCAATTTGATCTTTAAATTATCACTTTTTAAACCCCAATTCAAGTTAAAATGTCTATAAGATCTTTGTTCTCTTTCTTTTTCAAATTTTTCAATTAAAGTTTTTCAGGGTACATGCCCTATATCTACGGTGCTGCAGCGGCCACTTCTTGTTTTTATCGCCGTTCATGTGTTGTCTGTAATATACAAATATTCGTGTTACTATCCTATGCTATGCCATGTTATGCTATTCTTATATGTTTATACTGTTATTTGTACTTACTCAGTGTAGGCGCTCTCTGTGTGTGTCGCTGCTTATCTTTAATACGTGTGCTGTCTGGTGTACTGTGTGCTGTGTTTTATGTTCGTGGGTGTTGGAGGGGGAATGGGTAGTGGGGGAGGCAGGTACCGTTAGTCTGTATAGATTTCNTATTTGTATATTACAGACAACACATGAACGGCGATAAAAACAAGAAGTGGCCGCTGCAGCACCGTAGATATAGGGCATGTACCCTGAAAAACTTTAATTGAAAAATTTGAAAAAGAAAGAGAACAAAGATCTTATAGACATTTTAACTTGAATTGGGGTTTAAAAAGTGATAATTTAAAGATCAAATTGACGCGTGTAGATTGACAAAGATTTTATACCATTGGAAAGACTGGTGTTTTTAAATTTTTAACAAGCAGTGTAACAGTTGCGTGAGTGATACACACCTGATGATGGCCATTTAGGGCCGAAACATGTAGTGTGGAAGAGGAAGAAGAAGTAAAAACTACAATAAAATTGTTGCACTTAAGACGGTATTTGTCCATATATAGTATAGGTAAACATTTGTCTGATAACTTTCCTATCAAGAATGGTCTAAGACAAGGAGATGCTTTATCGCCGCTCCTTTTCAAATTTGCTTTAGAATATGCTATTAGGAAGGTCCAGGAAAACCAGATGGGACTGAAATTTAACCTTTAAGTGACGGCCCTTTATTTTCCGGTAATTGCAGCGGGACGGATTTGATTTAAATACCCGCAATTTTAAAGCAATAAAAACTGTAATCATTTCCTAAAATTGCTGTGCTTTCTACAATTTTTGTGATAAACGAACCAAATAAACGCTGTTTTTTTCTAGAAAGAATATAGAATCAGATATTGTAATTTACAGACCTTATAAAATTTGTAAAAATTTTTAGACTGATTCCAAGTAAAAAA